GGAAGGTGAGGGGGATCGTAAGTTTGGTCTGTTGTGCAAGAGTAGACCGGGGGCCAAGCTTGGAAAACAAAAATGTGGGATTCCCATTTTTTTCCAGTTCCTCGGCGCTGTTCGGCGCTGTTTTTTGTTTGTGCCTCGCGGGTTTTGTTAGCCGGGCCCCTCAGGGGTGTGGGATCTTCCAGACCCCCTGGGGGTTCTGAAGGCCTCCTGGAGGCCTGGAGAGCCGTCGGACAGGTGTCTCGGGCTGCGCAGGAACGTGTTGGGCCGTTCTTTACGTTCTGGGGGCTCCTTGGGGTCGTCATGGGCTGTCCTTCGGCGTCTTGGGGTCTCCCCCTGGGAAGCCGGGAGGCGCGGTACCGGCCAGATGTCAGGGGATGTGTGGGACCCCCGAGTAGGAGTCCCACTTTTCTAAAGAAGGGAATTCTGGGAATTCCCTTCTTTAGAAAAATGGCTGTCTTCTTCTGGGACCCCTCTCGGGCGCTTCTTGGACTTCTCTTGGGCCGTCTTGGGGGCCGATTGTGCCGTCCTGCGTTCCTCCTGGGCCGTCTTGGAGATTTTTTAAAGGCCTCCTAAGCCGTTTTGGGGGGCCGCTTGGGCCGTCTTGGACGCGGTGACAGCCCAAGAGGCGAGCATGCGAAAAATATGCGTTTTCCCATGGGAATGGACGGATTTTAGTTTCTTGGGGCTCTCTTGGGGTGCCTCTTGGAGCATCTTGGGGTGCTTTGGGGGGCCTGCTTGGGGCATCTTGGGGGCGTATCGGCGCCTCCTGGGATCTCTTGGGGCCGAAAGCTCGGAATTCGAGAGTGGCTTTCTTTCTCTGGGACTCCCCTCGGGCGCGTGTTGGGGCTCTCTTGGGCCGTCTTGGGGGCCCATTGGGCCGTCCTAGGCTTCTCGTGGCCCGTCTTGGAGCTTTTTTGGGGGCCTCCTAGCCCGTCTTGGGAACCATTTGGGCCGTCTTGAACGCGATGACAGCCCAACAGGCGGACATACGAAAATATACGTTTACCCAAATGAATGGGACGATGTTTGCTTCTTGGAGCTCTCTTGGGGTGCCTCTTGGAGCGTCTTGGGGTGTTTTTGGGAGCCTTCTGGGCGTTTATTGGGGGCTTCTCGGCGCCTCCTGGAGCCACTTGGGGTCGAAAGCTTGGAATTCGATGGTGGCTTTCGTCCTCTGGGGCCCTCTCGGGCCTGTCTTGGGGACTCTCTTGGGCCGTCTTGGGCCCTTCGTGGGCCGTTCTGGAGCACTCTGGGGCTGTATTGGGGCCCTCTGGGGCGCGTCCTCGGCCGGACCGACAGCGAAAACAAACAAAATGTTAAAAACATACGTCATACGAAGGGAATGGGGCAATTTTGGCCCCTTGGGGCTCTTTTTGGGGCCCTATTGGGGGTCGCTTGGGGTGTCTTGGGGGCTTATGGAGCCGCCTTGGAAGCCATGTTGGGCGTCTGGGAACGAACTTCGGGCGTCCCGGGTCTGTTCTGGAGCCTCTTGGGGCCTCCTTGGTGGCTTCTGGCGGTCTTCTGTGAGGCCCCGGGGCTCCCCGAGGGCCCCGGAGCCTACATTTGTGGTAGCGGCGCCGGCCCCGGGCGCCCGGACCCGGTGCGCCGTTATATGTATATATGTGTGTATATATATATGTATATAGATATTTATATAGATAGATAGGTAGGTAGATAGATAGATAGATAGATAGATATACATATATATATACATATATATATATAGATAGATAGATAGATAGATAGATAGATAGATAGATAAACAAATACATATTTATATAATTATATATCGACATATGTATATATATACGATGAAGTCTTCCACAAAGATCCCGAAGGTGTCTTTATTGTTTTATATTGAGGATGTTTTTCGGCACGCCCCTTTGTCGATTTTTGTTGGGGGATAACCAGGCCCCTGGTTCCACGCCGCCTGCACTGTCCCATGCTTGCGGCAAAGGTATCGAAGTCTGCCTTCGAAAACAAGTGCAGGTGCAACTCGCACCCCACGCCTCCAGGCGTTGTGCAAGAAGTAAAACGCATCAGACAGACGAGCTAGGCGAATGTCACATTCGGGGCTGAGGCGAAGTGTCGCATATAAAACGTTTGAGAACCAGTCCGAACCTACAAGGGGGAGATCAATTTGGGTCGACATAGTAACCAGCTCGCACAGCCTTCGACAAGCAGCTTACTGACGCAAACAATATGTATCCCTGTCCCCACGGCATCCGGACAAGCAGTGTTTCGGCACAGACCTGAAGCGCGAAGACGTACAGTATCCCCTGCAGGTAAGACGAACAATGTTAACAGCAAGATGTGAACTGGTGGCGCGACTAAGACGCTGGAGACGCATTAACATGTCAGGGAGACCCTCGAATTCAACTTCAGGGAGCCAACCATTGATACGATCACGAAGGACCTCCAAGACAGAGCGACCAAGGCGGGCACACATACGATAGAGGTAAATGAACAGCTTTCTGTGCACCGCTTTCCGCGGTAAAAATAGAGGGAACCGCAAGATCTCAGGCAGCAGTTGGCCATGCGCCAACGACATCTGATGTGTAATGCTTGATTGCCACCACCGCCCACGCACGCGCGCCATACAACGATGATCAGACCTGATAAACTCCCTCACCCTCCCCAGATCCAAACAAAAGACAGGGCAGCGAAGCGAGCGGCGAGCCCTGGCGGCGCGGCTGACACGCGGCAGATGCTTCAGCGATATCCCCCCCCCCCCCCACAAAGCTTCATCCCCTCCAGTAACTCATGGGGCATCGCATTCCATGGACCGTTGGTGATTAGCTGCGCACAGCGGGCACACGCCGCAAGAAGTGCCCCTGCGAAGGCGCATAAAACTGCAACAAATACTGCAGCATATAACACATGCAAGGTGTCGATCGCTAGCGGAAGCCCAAGACCAACTTTCCGAACCGAGCGCACGATCCAGGAGTTTCGGAACTACCTCACCACACGCATGCGCAGGCCCCTCGGGCCCAATCATGGCCCCAAGGCACTTGGTAGCACGCGTGACGATCATAGCACGGAAACGCTCCCCAAGGGAACTCACTAGGGCACGGATATCACCCACCCTCGCATACCCACCACCAGGCACACTTGCGCAAGTTGAGGCGGAGGCCCGTAGCCGTGTCCAGTGCACAAAGACCCCGTAGCACCACACTGAGCCCACTCCTTGCATCTGGGATACAGAATAAAAAGTCGTCACGCTAGGCAAGCAGACTATCCATGCGACGGCTCCCACGAGCCACCCCCAACGCAACGCAGGATCAGTGGCAAACGCGAGCAGGCACATGCTTGATGGATCACCCTCCCTTACACCCCGCCCGATGTCAATCGCATGTTCAGTAAACATCCCTCCCGACATGATCGTCCCCGTGCTAGTCGAATAAAGCGCCTCACAGCATGCCGCCACCGCTGCAGGCGCTCCCATAGCCCGTAGGACCGCAAGGACCCAAACAACATGGAGCGACGGGAAAGCAGCGGCGACAACCGTCAGAAGTCGCAAACTGCGCGGCGCCCCTCCTAAAAATTGTTGCCCCCCCACCGATCCGCAATGACCACATTCGAACTAATGGTCCTCCCCTTCACACCTCCCCGTTGATCCGCAATAACAGTTGATTCGGCAAGCACAGCCAGTGGGCTTCCAAATGCGAACGACATTATCTTCGCATCTGAGTCGCACAAGGCCAGAGGGCGCTTTGTTCAGAAGTACGCACCATACCTTGCACATCCTCTTGGGCCGTGCCCTTCGGAGGGAAAGGGAAAGAGCATGTCACGCATGTGTTGTGGTAGAGTGCGGCTACGATCGCGGTGAAACTCAACATACATATCGTAGAGTGACTCCACCCCACCCTCCACCTGAAAAGCTGCACGCTGTTGTCCGCCCCTCCTTGGTGCCGTGCTGCGGCGCCACTTCGCACGGGCAGCAGAAACGTCGTGCGACATCAGGCACTCTGGCTGCTGCTCTACGGGTAAAGCGTTGACAGTCTGGCAATGAGACAGAATTTCACCCCACAACGATCGGTCGACCGCCGCACTACTGACCACAGAGCTGCAGTGGGCAGCCAGCTTGCTTCCTGCCTCCTCCAGGTCGGCAACCCCCCCCATTCTCCCCGCGGATGCCGTTCAGGAATACACGCCGCCGAAACAGTTGCCACGCGGAAGGCCCCGGCTGAAGCTTCATCTTGGCCCTGCCCTCGCCCCCCTCACTCACCGCGTTCCCATTCGCGCCTTGTCTCCCAAGTTCCGCCTCCCGTGCCTAAATATGAACAAGCTCTAGCTGGGCAGCATGCGCACACAAACCAGGCAGGTCATGGCAACGAAGCTGCTCAACGTGAAAGCATTGTTCCAGCACCGTGTACACCTGTAGCGCTTTCGCACACATCGCAAACATATTGAAACGTACCCCCGCGATGGCGAGCATTGCCCGGTGATGTTTCTCAGCGCGAGTCTCCGCAGGACGGGCGCTGACACTGTGCCTGACCGAGGGGAGCGCCGCGCGAATCTTTCCCTTCGCAATCTGAGCCGTCTCGATGGCAGGGAACTGCGATGGTAGCTCAGCGAAGATGGCACGAACCACTGTACGATACTCGGGCGTACGGCACAAGCACACTGGCACACGACGCTGCTTCCAAGCGTCAAACCGAACAATCGTCAACGCCGCCGGGCTGGTCCGAACGGCGCCGTTCCACATCCCCGTAAACCGACGACGCAACTGTGAGGTCATGTAATATATCACTAGGGGTGCTACTGTAAACCCGATCAAGTCGAGAAGTGCGTCTCTCACTGACGTGCGCATTCCAACCCAAACTGGTCGGCTCATACTGCGCAGACTCAAGCCAAGAGGCGCAAACTTCTTGAAACAAATCGCGATGCTGTCGATCCCCCTCACTCCACCGTCCACCATCTTCCATCTTTTATCATCCGCCCCTCGCCCCGCAAGGTAAAGTTCCATTCCCCCACCACAAGATCGAGCGAGCATGTACTCGCAGGGATGACAACACAGGTGCCGCACGAGGCTTTCCTGTACAGCCGAACCCCCAAGTTAGTGTTTGGCATGTGACAGTTCGTAACCGTAACATCCCCATCCTTCCCCATGATCCTCGTAATCAAAATCCTCCAGTCCATCGCGAGATGATGAAGAATCGTGGCAAACTGCTTCCGCGGCCGATCGTTGATGATTGCGACTACCCCTCCAACTGCCGTCGTCGGAAGGAAGCTGGCCCCAATGGCTACCTGTTTTGGAAGTGCATAAACGCAACCACATCACCCACGTGCCCATGACACTCCTGCAGGCATGCCACATCGCCCCTCCCCCCCCCCCCCCCCCACACACACACACACACACACACACGCACAAAGCCCCAAGGCGTAATTGTATGTTTTTTTTTTGCACAAAGCGGAGTACCCCCACGAAACCGCCCAAAGAGCCCATTGGAGTTCCATGTGCAGACCGACCCAGAGAAGGAAGGACTATACGGGACACCTCGAGCCTCAGGACACCCCCAGGTACCCCAAGTGGGTACGCCAAAGGAAATAATCGAAACCCTACTTTGGGATAACTAAAAAGTGACTCATTCGGCGCAGGCGGAGCCCGAAACTCCACAGGGCTGGCAGCAGGCGGGGCATTCCCACCACCACGTGACTCACGAACGACGCTCGGCCCAACAGCCCGCGTCCTTCGGGTCAGGAGCACGTCGTTTGCATCTTCGTGCAAGCGCATTGCTCCCGACGGTGCGGTCTCCTCAGGCATGCTGTCACTGCTGCGTCGACCCGCATTACAAAAGGGGCCTCCAGCGCCGCACGCACCGCGGGCAGCACATTCTAGATCCCAAAAGTGGCAAACTCGGTTTCCTCAATTGTGCCTTCCACCGCCCCTCCAGACATACGCAACTGCACGAAAGTACGAGGCCTCTCCTCGTCCAGCAGGACAATCACCGATCCACCGAATCCGTTGGATCCAACTTCGCATGCGTCCCCTATCGCCTCAGTGACAATCCGCCGAACCGCCCCCATGACGAAGAACACTCGGCGCCCTTGGGGACTGATGTCCCTTTTTGCAACGCAACATGTACACAGAGCCCTCCACGATCGGGCTCGGGAAGGTGATGTTGCCTTTCGATTTAAACATGTTGAGAAAATCAGTGCACTTAACCGCCGTCGGGGATTCAGACGTCGCCTTCTTTGACATGTCGAAGGCTTTGATAATCGGAAGTGAAAGGGTGAGATTGAAGTGGAACGGAGAAGCCCCGTACCGCGAAATCGGATTCGGTTTCGTGATCGTGCGTGCCGCGCGTGCGGGCGAGGCGCAGCTGCGTGGGCGGGCGAGAAGAAAATCTCCTCCGGCCGGACCAAATGATTCCTTTCCGGGGGGCCGGTGGCCCGCGGTGTCCCGCCGGTGTCCCGCCTCCGGCTGAGGCGCGGCCGGACCAAATGATTTGTTTCCAGGGGCCGGTGGCCCGCGGTGTCCCGCAGGTGTCCCGTCGGTGTCCCGACGATGATGATGATGATGATGCTGATGATGATGACGATGCTGATGATGATGTCGATGATGTTGATGATGATGATGATGGTAATGGTGGTGATGATGATGGTGTCCCGATGATGAGGATGATGTTGACGATATTGATGATGAAAGTGATGGTGGTGAAGATGATGAACGATGATGGACTTGATGATGACGCTAAGGCTGATGATGGTGCTGGTGTCCCGATGTTGATGGTGATGTTGGTGGCCCTGATTATGATGGTGCCCCGATGATGATGATGCTGTTGAGGATGATGGTGATGCAGATGATGGTATCCCTGTGATGATGAGGATGTTGGTGATGATGATGACGACGATGGTGTCCCAATGCTGATGATTATGATGCCGACAAAGAGGATGATGAGGAGATGCTGGTAATTTTGATGATGGTGGCCCGGCGATAATGATGATTCGGATCTTGATGATGATGGTGTCCCGGTGAAGATGAGGATGGTGATGATGATGGTGACGATGATGATGGTGTCCCGATGGTGATGTTGATGCTGATGCTGCTGATGATGATGGTGTCCCGATAATGATGATGTTGGCGATGTTGTTCATGATGATGATGACGGTGATGCTGATGATGGTTGGGTTCCGTTGGTAATGATGGTGATGATGATGTCCCGATGATGATGTTGGTGATGATTATGGTAATGTTGATGACGTCCCGATGATGACGAAGATGTTGGTGATGCTGATGTGGATGATGAAGGTGATGAGGTGATGATGACGATGATGGTATTCCGATGATGAGGATGATGGTGACGACGTTGATGATGGTGATGTTGTGAATGATGATGAGGACGGCGCTGGTTGTGAGATCGACGGTGACATCGATAGTGAGATCGATAGTGATACGGAATGTGAGATCGATAGTGGGATCGACTGTGAGATCGATAGTCATATCGATTGTGAGATCGATTGAATAAAAAGATCGAGTGATATCGATCGAATGAGATCGATCGAGCGAGACTGATTTTGAGATCAATAATCAGATTGATAGTGAAACCGATCGAGTGAGACGTTGGTCCCCTCCCCGAGCCTCCTTATCACCCGGAGGGTGGTCGTATAGGTAATGTTGGCACGTTCAGCTTCGGGTGCACATTGATCTCTGACCATCTCCGCCGCGCGCCTCAACGCCCGCCCTATCCAGGGCACTTCAAAACCCACTAGAATCAGTCTGCAGGCTCCTTCCTGCAACCCTGCCCCTGCCGTATCAGCACCGCCTCCACCTCCACCGCGCCGATAAGAAGACTGCCCCATATGCTGGATCCTCTTCTCGATGCTCTCCGCCTTTTCCTTTCCACCACCAGGCTCGACTGATAGCTGAAATTCATCTTCTGGTCCATGGCCACGCTCACCGCTTGTTGTACTGCATCGTTGAGTGTTCCCTGCTGCGCCTGCTCCAGACCATTCACTCGTCCAAACAGGTGCTGAAGATGCTGTTCCTGTGCGTCTATGCTGGCCTTCATGGCGCCCAGCTTAGCTGACATACTTGCTTCCATGTGGTCGAGTTTAGCGTTGCTGGCATTGATGTCCGGAGTGAGACCCTGCATCCACGCCGGCGCCGTGGAGGGGGCCCGACAATCTCGATCGCTCCGACTCCGATACTGAACCCCGAACGAGGAGGAGTCGACGATGAGCCTCGATTCCGCTGCCGTGGACGTGATTGACTGCGGCTGTCCTCACGGCCTTCAGCCCGACGATACTGTCGCTTCCCCACTCCTAGTGCGAAAGTGTTCTGGATCACCTCGAGACGAAATGTCCGAGAGGCGAATGGCCGAAAAGATCTGCCAGCGGGCGGGCCGTGGCTGATCCTCGTGAGCTGGCTGGGCCGTGACTCTGAAAACGTTCGAACCGCCCCGTCGGCTCTGTCCAAGCTGGAACCCCCAGGACAACGTCTCCAACTTGAACCAAAATGGCTACGGCACCCTTGTCGAATTTCTTCGTAACGCCGATACATCGAGAATGATGTTGTAAGAGTGCCACAAAAGGACTCCTTGTTTAACGGCGCCACAAAAAGAATCCTAGTAGATGGCCGCCACAAACGGAATCCTTTTGTATTGCCGCCACAAAGGGGAAACCTTTTGCAAAGCCGCCGCAAAATACAAATCCCATTGTAGGGCCGCCACACAAGGAATCAAATTGCAGGGCCACCACAAAAGACATATCTTTGTAAGGCCACTGAGAAAAAATCCTTGTTGTAACGCCGCCGCAAAAAAGGAATCTTGTTTGTAAGGGCGTTATTTCTTCTGGAGCCAGCAGCGGAAAACAAGGAAAAACAATGAAGACAAAGAAAACACGACGAAAAACAAGGAAACACAAAAAACTGCGACAACGCAGCCAGGGACGATGAAAGCCAGAGAAAACATATGAACACACAGCACAAAGCAATGACAACACAATAATACCGATGTTTGCACAACTGTGTTGTGGTTTTCGCTGGTATGTTATGTGTTTCCTTGCTTTCCGCTGCGTAGTGATTGTTTTCTTTGTTTTCCTGGTTTCCCGCTGCTGGCTCCAGAAAAAATTCGCGTCCTTACGAAGGGATGTGTTTTTGCGTCGGCCTTACAACAAGGAATCCTTGTGTGGCGGCCTTGCAAAAAGGATCCCTTTTGTGGCGGCATTGAAAAGAGATTCCTTTTTGTGGCGGCCCTGCAAAGGGACTTCTTCTGCGGCGGCCTTACAAAAAGGACCGCTTTTGCGGAGGCAATACGAAGGATTCCTGCTGTGGCGGCTTGACAAACAGGTTTCCTCGTGTTGCGGAATTGCGAATGAATCCCCTTTTCCCGTGGTCAAGTTTTTGGTTGATATTCACTTGACGTGCGCAGACGAAGCTAGGCGCCAAGACCAGCAAGTGCAACGCCATAGTGCGCGAGCTGCAGACGGCCAGTTCCACAATCAAGCAGATGGAGGCAACAGCGAAAATGAAAGATATGCGCATCTCATAATTAGAAGAGAAGAACAAAGAGTTTGAGGAGTGGGGCCATTAGTACAAGAACAAACGCGAGGAGACCAAACATAATGCAAACAACTCGATCGGCAAAAGCAGAACATTGAGAGCGAACACAAAAACTTCGTCGACAAACACGGGCGGCTGATGGCCACCATCGCCGGCCGCGTGTCTCCCAAGCTCTTCGAAACAATTCGCCAAGCCACCCAAGCACCGGCCGTGGTGCAATGTCGGCATGTGCTAGATCATGTGCACACTAGCCAAAAGAAAACACATCAAACTGAATTCGGTGCAAACCACGATTCCGTGACCCCCATGCCCAAGAAAGACGGGAAATTCCTGCGCCCCAAATACGTGGAGCTCTTCACTCACAACATTGAGGGGCTGACCACGTACAGAAAGGGGGGACCCTGATAATTGATCGGTGTGGGCAGCATATTCGTAAGTTTGGAATTGGCACTGCACATCTGAGACGCTTCCCTGGCGATGCCCAAATCGTCCAAGATGCCCAGGATGGCCTCCAAGACAGCCCAGGCAGGCCACCACGGCCACCACGATTGCCGAATCCCGCAAGCCCGTTGGAGCGCGAGCGTTTTCAAACGCTTCCTCTTCCCACCACCTCCTTCCCTTTCACGGAGGGGCTGATCACTGCTTCCTGCTAATAAACACTTTCTCCGGCAGCCAACCAGGACCAATGAGACCCCCCACCATCCCGATCAAAAAGTAATGTGCAGTCGCCTTAGGGGCAAGATATTGGGTCATGATCGGGTGGGGGGGGCGCGTGCACCTGGTATGGTTTTTTTCGACAGGGACGGCGGGGGTGCCCGCATATTGCCTGCTGCGCGCAGGGCCAACATCCCGGTGAAAAATAATACAACATGCACTTGGAGGCAAAATCTGGATCATGCGCGGGCACCCCGCGATCCCTGTGCATTGGTTTTTGGCTGGAACGGCGGGGGTGCTGGCATATTGCCTGCTATGTGCAGGCCAACCAGGCGCCATGATGACCACACCGCCGCTATTGCGCACCGGTTGTCGACAAGGGTGGTGGGGGGCCGGCGCGTTTCCAGATGTGTAGTGCCATAGGCATAGGCGCGCCTGGCAGGCACGCCCTGCGCGTGCCGCGAACGTTGCGCACATGGCGCGGCTGGGGCACGCGGCACACATGGCGCACGTGGATCACGTGGCGCATCTGTCGCACCAGGCGTCCCGACACGCATGTGCCGCACGCGGAGCGCGCGGCGCGCCTGGCACGCACGGCGCACCTCGTCCCCGCGGCGCGCGCGTGGGGCCTGAGTTCGGGCTCCCAATACTACCCAGCACCACCGCTGAACACGCTGCGGTTCGGGAGCTATTTATGTGTTGGGTGGACGGCTTGCGTGCGGGAAGGGTGTCTTGACCCCTCCCACCTCCCCCTTCCCCCTGGACCTGGAGCCTGGAGCGCAAACGCAGACGCAGACGCGCGAGTCCGCCGGCCGGCGGGCCGGCAGGCCCCTTAGGGGCAGCGCGGGCGGGCCGGAGCCCGGTCACAGGCATGTGAACTTCAAGAAGTCGCTCTCGAGGTCCGCCCAGAATTTGGAAGTTGTAGCACTCTGTGGCCATGTGCCGGGTGTGCTTCCAAACAAAGCCATATGCAAACATTCTGATGTCGTCACTCCACCGTTTTCGCTGTCCGCCGTGTCGGCGTCGTGATGCCCGGGGGTCATGGAAATCAGGTTCCCATGCCGCCGCCAGTCGGGCCAAGCTGTGGTGCGGTTGTGTAGCAACTCGCCCAGCCCATCTCCATTTACGCTTGTGAAATATTGCAATAGGATTCAAGATCAGATTCGTCGTCGACGTCGTCAAAGTCTAGTTGCTGTCTGACGCTGGACGTGCTGTCGTCACTTCTGCTGTCGTCATGCTGTTCAGTGTCGGGGTTGATTGTGTTTTCGTCGGTGCTGGCGTGGGGTTGTCTCTGTCGGCGTCTTGAAGTATTCGCAATGAGTCGTAACATGCGTCGTTGGGTGCGTCGGAGTGTCAGGAGCATGTCTTTGGTGAGAGTCCACGTTGCGCAGCCATACATGACCGTTAGCGTCACCGTCCCGTTGGAGAGCCTGAGCCTGCTGCGAAAGGGGGGAGTCGATACCCACTGGAGCGTCCAGAACGGCCTCGGCGAGAAGGTAAAAATCATTGATTTGATTTAGGGGTCAGGCCCATTTTGGCTTCCTGGGGGGGACTCTAATTGATTACCCCCCTTCGTTGATCGATCTCCTCCAAGATGGCCTCCGAGGCGCCCGAGAATGCCCCAAGAGGGTCTCAAGAGGCGCCCAGGATGCCGCGAGAGGCCCCAAGAGGTCTCAAGAGGCTCCCAAGAGACCCCAAAGAGGCTCCTCGAAGCGCCCAAGACGCTCCAAGAGGCCCCCGCGACCGCCAAGAGGCCCCCACATCGCACCAAGAGACCTCCAAGAAGTTATCAAGAAACATCCGAAGCGACTCCGAGAGGCATCCAGACGGCTTCCGGCTTTTCTGCTCGCCCTCCTCCTCCTCCTCCTACTCCTTATCCGCCTCTTTCTTGTCCTCAATGTTTCCCTCCCCCGACAATTTCACAATATGAATACTACTCTCCTCTCTCTCCTGATGACGTCTGGAAGGTGTTCGGCCCCCCTCCGCGTATTGTTTTTTACTACAGATTTCCGGGAGTTGGGTTTTCGCTTAGCTTTTTGATTCAAAATGTTGTTCCCGCTGAAGCGCTGGCCTCATTTTCGGGCTTCCGCTCGTTCCGAATCGTGCTCCCGCTGCAGCGCTGGCCTCATTACAGAAGTTCCGCTCGTTCCGAATCGTGCTCCCGTTGCAGCGCTGGCGTCATTATTTACATGGCCGTGCCACGGCATGCAATGCAATGCTATGTGGTGTTCCGCTGTGCGATACCATGCCTTCTGCTGCTATGCTAGGATGTGCAATGCTTGACTACGCAATGCCACGCCATGCTATGATCTTCAACGCCATGCTATGCCATGTTCTCTTCTATGCCGCTGTGCGATGCTATTATTAGCGTTGCAATGCATGTGATGCAATTCGTCGCTACGCCACGCCACGCCATGCTAATACAGATTACGCTCTGCCGTGCTCTTCTACGCCCTGCTATGCCCTGCTCTACGATGCATCGCGCACCCTCTACGATGCCCGACATCCGATTGTGCGAATCTAGAGGAGATCCACGACATGGTAAGGGATGGACGGGAGGGGTAGGACGTCAGATATGACGCGAGCGCATCTTGCTTGTCACCCTCCCCTTCCCCCTCTCCCTCCTCCTCCTCCGATTCCTCCTCCATCCTCCCCGTCTTGGGATACGACGGCTGCGCCAGCCCTTCATTCCACTGCCTGCTCCTCACCATCCCTGATCAGGGCAACTTGCCTTGGCATTGTTTCTGGATGAGCTGTTTGTTTTACCCGAAACGTCTAAAATGTGCCTCCAAGACTGCGGAAAATGGTCCCGAGACGGCCCAATCTGGCCACAAGACGGCCGAGGATGGCCACACGACGCCCCAAGAGGCCCTCCAAAACCCAAGGCCCAGAGACGTCCCTCAGCTCCAGGCGGCCCCAGCGGCCTGCAATGTTCCCCCAAAGCCAGGCGTTGTCGAAAATATCTGCGCTGACGATTTTGTGTCGATGACCACGGTGCCGTCCACGATGGAGTGGAGCGAGACCGCAGCTGGAGGCTTCTCTTCAGCGGTCAAAGCGAAGCCGCTCTCTGAAGGTCCTGAGCCACCGACTGGTGCTCCTTGCCTGCCGGCGCCAACTCAGCACAAAGAAACTCGAATGTTGGACCTCTGAGCTTCGAATTTGGCGTCCCACTGAGAAAACTGAATGAACTCGATATGAATGAACTGCCCCGTACTCCTGATCACCGCATGGGAATCCTGCACACGCAGCTGCAAACTCTGCGTGGGCGGAAGCTCAGCACGGGGAAGTGCCTGTGACATCTGTCGATCTGCACGGTCGGCCCGTATCATAAGGATGCGCAGGAAGGACGCAGGGCCCTTGGACGCCCATGCCGAAGCTTTTCGAGCGGAGCGCGGCAAACGAAAATGGCCAAAGATGTACCGATGAGGCAAGGCTGCACGGGTACCCTTGGGAAGGATGTCCATCCTTCTCATGCGGGTTGACTGTAATCGTTTGTGCCATTGTCCCCTGCCTTCCCCGACAAATCAGAGAAGGTCTTGGCCTCAACCGAAGAAACGGCGGGAACAGGCCCAAACGGAAAGGGAGCGCCAACACCCAACTCATCATAGGCAGCATGGCCCCCGTCAAGGGCAAGCCATTCATCATTAAGTGGGCCGTAGAATTTCGCTTTGAAGACTAAACCTCTACGACCTTGCCTTCTCTTGGAACCGTTGCCTCCTTCCTTGCCGCCAGCAGCGTCCATGTTGGAGCCCGGATGGTCAGCACACATGAAAGACGAAAGGACCCGAACACATACAGGCACTCTGGGAGAGGAATGGCCAACTTTGGGGAGCGTCGAGTGCTTGAGGTTCCTTGCACAGCCCAGAATCGAATCGACAAGTCGGATCGGCGATTGACATGAATCGGATCGGCGGAAATCGGCAGCCGAGTCGGGAAAAGTCGAATCGGCAGACATCGGTAAGTTCGTACGCCTCCAACGAGAAATCGGAGCCCAAATCGGATTCCCAAGCCGAGTCGAATCGGAATCGGACACCATCGAAGTCGAATCGAATCGAATCGGGGGAATCGAAGGGTTCACCCTGTCAGCCCACAGGAGGTTCAGCGCATAGCGCCTAATAAGCCAGGGTAGGGGCGTTTGTAATCCCTTGACCTAAGCAACCCCAAGAAAGGAACGAGCCCTCGTTTCCATTAGCTGAACTTCGACTCCCCATCGAAAGCCTTGGTAAAACCAAAGGCAAGCTGTGAAACATTCAAGGAACAAGAAGCCCCTCTCCAACACAAAGGGTTTCTTCTTCAGCACCCCGACTGTAAGCCTCGCGTTCGGGGGACTCGAGTTGGCCTGACGGGGCCGTCAACAACACGGGGCGACCCAGCCTGAAATAATTTTACAGGAGAGCTTCCGCTGCAAACACCACACGAGAACTGGGCCGTCCAAATTCGGGACGTGCTCGTCAAAAAGCATCGGCAAGCCCGAATTCCGGCGTGTACTCGAGTCTTACGTTTCCCCGAAACGACGACTACGACCACAACGACGGCGACGACGCCCAGCGCCCGCCGGAGCGGGCGCAGCAACGAGGCGGCTGCCTGCACCCGGCCGACGCCGTCGCCAGCACGTCCGGGGCCGCACCCCCCTGGCGGCCAGCGACCACCCAGTCCCCAGCGCTCCTCCTCCTCGTCCTCCTCTTCCTCCTCCTCGTCCTCCTCCTCCTCTGCCTTCTCCTCTTCCTCCTCCGCCTCCTCCTCCACCACATCCTCCCCCTCCTCCTCCTCCTCCTCCTCCTCCTCCTCCCCTCCTTCTCCTCCATCCCTTCTCCTTGTGAATAACTTTTCCCTGTCGCACCCAAAGCTTTTTTTTGGGGCGAGCCGGGCGTTTCGCCTGAGACTTGCTCACCACTTATGACCCTGAAGCTGAACAATTGACAACGATTTGACAAATGGGGTCGTTTTCAAAATGAGGCTCTCGCCGTAGCGCCACGCACATTCGTTTTAAAGAAACGCAAGAGTTTCACGGATTGAGGGCGGGTCGTTTTCAAGATGTGGTTATCGCTTTAGCACCGCGCACATTCGTTTGAAACAATTGCAACAGTTTCGCGAATTAAAGGCGGGTGGTTTGCAGAATGTGGCTCTCGCCTTAGCGCCGCGCACATTCGTTTCAAAACTGTGCAAGGGTTTCACGGATTGAGAGCGGTTCCTTTTCAAAATGTGGCTCTCGCCTTAGCGCCCCGCGCATTCGCCTTCAAAATTTGCAAGAGTTTCACGGGTTTCCATGATCAGCGTACCATACATTGCGTTGTGGAAGGACTCGGGATTATGAGGGTGCAACAGTTACGTGGAGTCGCGGTGTTGAAATCCCAGGGATGGCGTTCTGGCGCGATGCACGATCGTCAAGACGCAACAGTCAGACTGATCCGTTGCGTTGGAATCCCGAGAACAATATGTGTGGCATCCTTGAGGGTCTTCAAAAGGTTGTCTTCCAACGAGGTAGTTCCGTCAGTGAAAATGGACCATTGTAGCGACCTGTGAAGAGGGAACTTGGAGGCGGGATTTCTTCCAACATCGTTGACGACTCTTGGATTTACACTGGTCCTCCTCCTCCTCCTCCCGCTAACCCTCCTCCTCGCCATCCTCTTCGTCAATGACGTTTGGCAAGGTGGAGTGTATATTTTCCCGCGCCAGGTGCTGGCCAACACTAGAACCCTCCTCGTGGCTCGTGACTGCGGCCATGCTCCCACCCACATCAAGCCCTGCCGACTCTCGACCCTCGGGGGTCGAAAAGGGGAACGAGTTTCTCGGGGCTCGTCGCTGCTGCCGTCGTCATGTGCGCCGCCGCGCCGCCACCGCCGCCGCCGCCGCCGCCGTCGTTGCCTCCGCCGCCGCCGCCGCCGCCACCGCGGCCGTCGTCGTCGTCGTCGTCGTCGTCGTCGTCGTCGTCGTCGTCGTCGTCGTTGCCGCCGTCGGCGCTGCCGCCGTCGTTGTCGTCGTCGTCGTCCTCGTCGTCGACGTCGTCGTCGTCGTCCTCGTCGTCGTCGTCGTCTCTCCTCCTGACCCTCCTCCTCCTCCTCCTCCTCCTCCGCCTCCGCCTTATTTCTGATTTCTCGTTTCGCAGCCCTGGCCAGTTGCCCAGGCGGGGATTGGTTCCGGGGTCTCACCCACCAGCCTTCCTCCTCGTCCTCCTCGTCCTCCTCGTCCTCCTCCTCCCCCCTCCTCTTCCTCTTCGTGTTATTCTTCTTCTTCTTATTATTATTATCCTCCTCCTCCTGACCCTCCTCCTCCTCCGCCTCCGCCTTATTTTTGATTTCTCGTTTCGCAGCCCTGGCCAGTTGCCCAAGCGGGGATTGGTTCCGGGGTCTCACCCACCAGCCTTCCTCCTCGTCCTCCTCGTCCTCCTCCTCCCCCCTCCTCTTCCTCTTCGTGTTATTATTCTTCATATTCTTCTCCTCCTCCTCCTCCTCCTCCTCCTCCTCCTCCTCCTCCTCCTCCTCCTCTTCGTCATCCTCCTACTCCTCCTCGTCCTCCTCCTCGTCCTCATCGTCCTCCTCGTCCTCCTCGTCCTCCTCGTCCTCCTCCTCCTCCTCCTCCTCGCCCTACTCATCCCTGCCCTTCCCGCTAATCGGTCCGCCGACAGAAAGATCCCGACTAGGCTTCTCGCGCAGTGGGTGGCCCGTGTGCAGAGCGCATAGGGAGGAAGCGCCCTCCTGGCTTGGCCGGGGAGGCATTTACCCCAATCCTACAGTCGGCTTTGATTGGACAGGACACGCGAGAGGACACAATACCCTTCCAAGGGCCACATCGCCATAGGAGTGTAAGAAGGCACGCGTCGCGAAACACAGGACACAAGGGTACCCTTGAGCTGGCAGGGTCGACCTATCGAAGACGCCTGCGGCGAATCACCGCCGCCCCATGCCTTTTTGGAAGCGCCCATGTGGCCGAACGTTGAAGCCAGACCTGCCAAGCTATCGGACCATGTGTTCCCCGAGTCGGTGTGGAAAGCCTTCGGGGAACGTGAGCATCTCGAATGTCATCTTGGCCGTCTGGAGGCCATGTTGACCCTCTTTTCTAACCTTATTGGCGGGTTCTTGGGCCGTTTTGGGGGCCATCTTGAGCGTCATGGAGACCTCTTGGGCCGTATTGGGGGCCTCTTGGGGCCGTGTCTTGGGCCTCTTGGGCGATCTTTGGGGGCACTTGCGCCGTCTCGGGCCATCGGAAGGCAGAAAAAAAAAACAAATGCAACAATAACAGCTTCGCCTTAGGCGAAGCCCAGTTCCCGCTCTGTTGCACCGTAGTTACGATAGTCCCAGTAGTACGGGGCGAGCCATCTCAAGCAGTATTTTGGTATCGATGGCAAATCGTACACCTCGCGCTGAGGTGTCGTCAGATCTGGGCGGCCGGCCGCTTGAGCCACGCGGCCGCGGGCACACGTTCGCTTCGGCCCCCTGTGTCCCCAGCTCACTTTTGAGTCGGGGGGGGGGGGAGACGAAGCGTGAGCCCGCCGCCCCTCTACAGCAAGCACAGCAGCTACTATTCACAATAGGGCAGCAAAAGGGCGGGGCCGTAAGGAAGGTGGACCCACACGCAAGTTGCCTTGCCTGTACTATACTGCACAAAAGATACTCCTCAGGCGGCCGCAGAACAGGATGTCTGGCCAGCCCGATAGGAAGTGTGACTCTAGAAATCATGTCTGAAGGGTTGTATACCTCCCATGACCAATAGGAGCATCTCCCTGCCGATGCCCCCCTTGGCGTGACCGTCCGCAATCATATCGCGGGTGTCGCACCACAGAATACTTTGCACGATTCAACGCTCCATCATCTGTCGTACCCAGCTGCTGTGACCTACAAGAGTATACTCAATCGGCTTCGTCAAGTCCTTGCGTGACAAAGATTCAGACACATACCCAGCATCTATGGTCAGAGTGACCTTGATGCTCAGGCCACCCAACTCAAGTATGTCTTTCAACGGAGTAGGAGTGAGCGGCCCTGCGTGGAGCTCGTGCAGAGTCACGATCGCGGGGTAACAGTCCTCCAAATAAGGGGCAGCTGCTAGTGTCTCTGCTGAACAGCTCGAGTGGACCTGCAAGCGGTGAGACTTGCAGTGCGCGTCAATGAAGTGGACGACGGTCTTACCAGATGGCGCGTCTCCACGCCGTAGCAGGTTTGCCCCGCGAATACCGTAGCCCTTGATGTCGTCGTCGGCGTCTCCACTCAAGCGTCGGTAACCTGAGTCGCTGTGCAGGTCGACCTCGCCCGTAGGGGCCATCGCCTGATAGACGATCTTCTTGGGGCAGGCCTGCAGTTTCCTGGTGATCGCGCTCAGTCGTCGCATTTGTAGAAGATTTGGTCGGTTCTTGGACGCGCTGTAGAGATACAGCGCGCACCATCAGCCACACCTGGGTGATTGATGCGTGCGCCAGCGCGCCTCTGAGGCTGACGAAAATGTCTGCAACCATCTTGGATGCCTGAGCGCCAGCGCCGGCGCCCGTAAGTTCAGGATGTTGTATGGGACGGAGCTGCTTGATGCATTCGTCTTGGTCCAAAGTAACAGCGCCGTCCTCATCCTTGGTATACACCGCAGCACAATTGGTGCACGTGCGCTTGTTGAGCTTACACTTACCAAAGGTGTCATCTACGCACTTGATATCATCTGCATGTTTGGCCGTAAGCAGGTTGCTGCTCGTCTCGAACTCCTCGTCATAGGACGTGGGTCGGAGACCGAGCCCTCTGGTGGTCCTTCTGAGCTGTAGTGAGAAAGCTCGGGGTGCGTCTTTGGTGCCAGTGCCTGGTTTAAGGCACTGCAACCAGTGCTTTGACTCGTCGTAGTGCTCGAATCCTAGGAGAGTCCGAAGCACCGTGGCCAATCCATGCGGCAAAGTAAAGCACACCACGCGTTCCTTTTGACCAGTTGCCTCAGCAAGTTCCTGGTAGGTCAACCCTTTCAGGAAGGCCATGTTGACGTCGAAGGAAGCAACGTTCCATTGCTTATTGCACGCTGCCGTGCTCGCGAGTAGTCTCTGGCTTGGCCGCCGCGCTGTTCCCGAAAAAGGCTTCCACACCGAAGGCTTCAATGTCCATGAAGGCGTTATCTGATGGTGCGTTCTATATCGCCCTTGTCGTTCTTCACAAACGCCCATTTGTGCACATATCTCGAAGTCATAATGTTTGACGCTGAAGATATGTCTCGCACGTTGAAGCACTTGTTGCAAAACCATGTCTTGAGTTCGGTGTGGGGGTCCTTCGAGACTTTTCTCGGGATTCGCCTGGACGTCAGCCTTCGCGAGGAAGCCGTCTTCCTTGACGACCGCATCTCGCTTTGCAGCGGCGGCAACGCATACTCGCATAGTGGTCACACGGCCGGCATCGAATATAATGTGCTGTTGTTCGGACAAGACTACCTTTGACATTTCTGCCGTAAAGCAGAGTTCTACATACTGTCCGTTTTCGTCTGAGCCCAGTCCGTAACTGCAGTCTTCGACCATGGAGCACAATGGGTCATGAGACGTCTCCTCGGTGTCGGAGTCGCGTGGGTGCCCCCACTTTGGCAGGTGCCCCCGCTTGTCTTCAGCTACAGTGATCAGCGCACTGTGGCCTGGAACCATCTGTGTGGGCATCGTGAAAAAAAAGGTCCTCTAATGGAG